AAGGGAAACATCATGCTTTTCAAGCTTCTTTTTTTTTTTAATTTATCTTTGTTTTGTTTTGAAGTTTTATTTTTTTTTTGTTTTCCTTCGCAATTTTTTCACCATCACATGTTTGCATACAAAATACCCCAGGTTTCTAGTACGCTATTCATCTATTTTTTCAATACATTCGTGGTACAATAATGAAAATAAATATTTTTTTATTTTTTATTTTTTTATAATTTTAATTTCTTTTTGCTCCAATAAATAAATCGCTAAAAATAGGATACACATTAATAGGATAAATATATCTTAAATAAAAAGATGCATTTTTTCTTTATTTGATCGTTATGAGTCTTTTAAATGTTTGTTCTAATCACTTTTTTATTTTTATTGGTGAATACATAGCTCAAAAGAGCTGTATTTTTTAATTTATAAAAATAAATTAATAAAAAAAGATTATACTAGTAAATTATTTTATTTTGATAAAATTTAAATTATTAATTTTTTTATGACAAAAATATTGGCATATAATTAAATATAAAAAGTTTGATAAGTGGTTTTCAAGGATTATATTAATTTTTCAAGTGTTTTTAGATAAAAATAAATTTTTAATTAAAAATTCAATCCTTAATGTTTCTGATCATCTAAAACTGACCAGAAAAAAACAATTGATGACAGGTATGAGTGACCCATCTTAAAAAAAATAAAATTCAGAAGCGTATAATTCATCATCCACTTTTGAGGAAAAAAACAGGAGCAGGCCAGGTCTTCTAGTTTTATCAGCACCTGCTTTTTTTTATGTTTTTTTTTTAATTCATTTTCATTAGTTATTTTTATGTAAATATTAATTTACCTCCCTTTCTTTCTTTTTTTTTTTAAAAAAAAAGGGAAACATCATGCTTATCAAGCTTCTTTTTTTTTTTAATTTATCTTTGTTTTGTTTTGAAGTTTTATTTTTTTTTTGTTTTCCTTCGCAATTTTTTCACCATCACATGTTTGCATAAAAAATACCCGAGGTTTCTAGTACGCTATTCATCTATCTTTTTAATACATTTGTAGTATAACAATGAAAATAAATACTTTTTTATTTTTTATTTTTTTATGATTCTAATTTCTTTTTGCTTCAATAAATAAATCGCTGAAAATAGGATACACATTAATAGGATAAATATATCTTAAATAAAGACATGCATTTTTTCTTTATTTGATCGTTATGAGTCTTTTAAATGTTTATTCTAATCACTTTTTATTTTTATTGATGCAGTCCATAGCTCAAAAAAGCTTTATTTTTTAATTGAGAAAAATAGATTAATAAAAAAAAGAAGGATTATACAAGCAAATTATTTTATTTTTAAAAAATTTAAATTATTAATTTTTTATGACAAAAATATTGATATATAATTAAATATAAAAACTTGAATAATTATACAATTAAATATTTTAATGAGCTTTCTAGTTAGTTTTTGATTTATGTCAACAACTCTACCTAACATTTATTTACATTTATAACTCTCAATTCACTTAATTGCTTGAGTTAACTTTTTGGTGCACAATAAAAAAAATTATAGTATAATATTGTTTTTATAATGTTTTTTATTTATAAATCTATTAAAATAATATTTTTTTATTTTTTAAGATGTATTTTTAATATCAACTAATCAAAATAATTTAAAAATATATAAAAAATTAATTTAAAAGTAAAAAACAATTAATTTTTTTTAAAAAGACAGTATAACCGCAGTCACGTACACCGGCTGACGGGCTTGATTTCGCAGCTTTTCATTTAAGGGAACACAGGGAAAGCTGATATTTTTACCCCCTGCCAGTGTCATATCAGTCATTTTCTCTTCTTCTCTTCTCGGTAAATCACGCGGTGACAACATTTGGCTCTTGTTTCTTTAGGCTTTGATCTGTCATTTTATTTATTTATTTATTTATTATTGAACAATGCCCAGTTGGTTTAAAATTCACAATCAGTTTTCATGTCAGCGTACCATCTATCTGCCCTAATCAAAATCTTAATTATTTTGCAGCAATATAGTCTAAATTAGTTAGCACTCCATCCTGTCAAGTCATTTTCCATTTAAGGCTACCTCTCCCACCTGGTTTTGAATACCTTCCGTTTCGTTTAGCTTTGTTTCTCCTTCAAATCAAAGCTACACCAACTATTCACTACTGTGGTGCAGCTTGTCTTTTACAAATAATTTTGTTTTTATTTTAAAATATATTAAACTAAATTTTATATTAATAAATCAAAATAATAGGCTTTAAAACATCTCCCAATAAAAATATTATTTTAAAGAGTCAAATTGATAAGATAACAATTTAAATAATATAAATATTATTTTAAAGAGTTAAATTGATAAGATAATAATTCAAATAGTATAAATATAATGTATACTCTGATAAAAAAAACTATTTGAAAAACCAACTGTATTGAAGTAGGGAAATGAATACTTTATTTTTTCTTCAAGAAGCTTGATATCATTATTTTTATGCATGATTATACTTAATTGGTTTATTTTTTGTTGACTTTATTGGTTTTGATTATTTTTTAAAGATATATAAAAATAATATTTAAAAAAATATCAATTTAGTATTTTGTTTAGCACTCACCTTCAACTGTACAAAACAAGCATTGATTAGAAAAAAAAATATTTATTTTATTTTTGACTTTCCATTCATGAACCTTTGGAGTTGCTATAACAGCGTTCGTTTTGTTCTCGATGCATTATTGATTCTCCTCCTCTGCCGGCCTCCTTATAAAACAAAAGAGGCTGCCTTAACAAATTGATCAATGGCCATTAGCAGTTTTAATGTCAAAGAATTAAATAATCTCTTGGATTGTAATTACGGAGAATTGCTCATCGGAGTAGGACCTCCATGATTAGGAATTTGTTTTCAGTTGCGCTATTCTATTTTGCTTGATTATGGGGACGATCACATCAAACACCACGATCAGGGTGGTGCTTTCAGTCACTGAGCAAGGAGTGGGTTCTCTTTAATAATTTATTGGTTATCCTGAGATTAATTCCTTGCAGTAGAGAGACAAGACAGATGACCGAAGAGATGAATCTTTCGTCGGAGTTTGAATGGTACAGTGAGAATGGAATATTAAAGAAGCGCTCAGATTTAAAACAATAAAACGACAACTTGTCCTCCACATTTCTTCTTCCTTTTCCCTTTTGGATTTTAATATCAAGTAGCACCATCGAATAATTTTATATCCTTTGTCTTTTTCTTTTTACCAAATTCACGATGGTTTATAGACCTAGCCTAGTTTTTTTAACATACAGTATATATAGTGGGTTAATTTTTTAAAATATTTAAAAAACTTATAAAAATATTAATTAAAAATAGAAACTTAATGTATGATGGATGAAACTATTTTAAATACTTAATTGGTGACATTTTAAATAAAATATTTTTCTTAAAAAATAAGATATCAACTCATTAAATTAATCTAGGATATCTATAATTAATTTATAAAACTCGTAATATAAAACATGAAATAAGAATCAAATCATAAATTCATACTAAAATAATTTAGAAAATCCGGTTACAATGAACCAAGTATAAAAAGACTAAAAAAAAACATAAAATACAAAAAAAAAAAAAACC